TATACTGGAGTAATGATGATGGAAATTCAGCTTTGCATCACAGAAATAAATTATATTTTAAAGGATATTAAAATAGAAACCATTTTTTTATATTGTAATAACATTTTGCAAGATTACTGTTTTTTTCCGTATTTTTGATCAAATAAATGCAGCCTTGATGAGCAGAAGAGACGTCTTTAAAAACATTACAAGTCTTTTGAATGGCAGTGTACTGTGTGTCTTCAGTTCAATGACAAGAAACTTGAATATTGTGCATTTCTGTTGTCACGTATTATATGTTTAGCTACTTACCTCAAGCTGGCCTTCTTTGATTTGATTGGCCATTTCAGTCATTTTGACGAGAACTGCTAGATAATCATCGTATTTTTTGTTCTATTTTTAATTTTTTTAATTTTATTATTATTATTTTGGTTCTGATTCCATGTTAAGAAAAAGAAATAAAAGAGTCAAACGAGTTTGGAAATGACATGAGTCCAATAAATAATAATGACAATTGTATTTAGGTGAACTCTTTGCCCAGAGAGTGCAACACAATGGAAATAGATATTAGAAAGTGTCTTTTAGGACTGTTTCAGTTCAAACAATCAATGCATCTGCTTTCTAAGGAAGCAAATTAGTGTTTTTTTTAGAATCCATGTGGATGGTAAACACAGTGAATATATATTATATGCATGAGTTATAAATACCTATGAAGGTTTTAGAGGATACAGAACTGATAGTATTACATGCATGAATATGGTACTGTTTTGAGGTGATGTGCAACAATTTACAGTGTTACACAGGGTGCAGCACAACTGTTGATAATTCTAATAATAAATCAGCATATTAGAATGATTTCTGAAGATCATGAGACACTATACTGGAGTAATGATGATGGAAATTCAGCTTTGCATCACAGAAATAAATTATATTTTAAAGGATATTAAAATAGAAACCATTATTTTATATTGTAATAACATTTTGCAAGATTACTGTTTTTTTCCGTATTTTTGATCAAATAAATGCAGCCTTGATGAGCAGAAGAGACTTCTTTTAAAACATTACAAGTCTTTTGAACGGCAGTGTACTGTGTGTCTTCAGTTCAATGACAAGAAACTTGAATATTGTGCATTTCTGTTGTCACGTATTATATGTTTAGCTACTTACCTCAAGCTGGCCTTCTTTGATTTGATTGGCCATTTCAGTCATTTTGACGAGAACTGCTAGATAATCATCGTATTTTTTGTTCTATTTTTAATTTTTTTAATTTTATTATTATTATTTTGGTTCTGATTCCATGTTAAGAAAAAGAAATAAAAGAGTCAAACGAGTTTGGAAATGACATGAGTCCAATAAATAATAATGACAATTGTATTTAGGTGAACTCTTTGCCCAGAGAGTGCAACACAATGGAAATAGATATTAGAAAGTGTCTTTTAGGACTGTTTCAGTTCAAACAATCAATGCATCTGCTTTCTAAGGAAGCAAATTAGTGTTTTTTTTAGAATCCATGTGGATGGTAAACACAGTGAATATATATTATATGCATGAGTTATAAATACCTATGAAGGTTTTAGAGGATACAGAACTGATAGTATTACATGCATGAATATGGTACTGTTTTGAGGTGATGTGCAACAATTTACAGTGTTACACAGGGTCCGTCATCATTGTTGTGCGCTTGTTTAAGAATGTTTTAGGATATGAGTCATTGCATCTCGTGATTTTGTATTTTTATAGTGAAGCTTTATTCAAGCAGTGAACGTTTGTCGTGTAGAATCTACTGTTTAACAAATGTGATAAAGGTGTGAAATGTTTAACTTCTGCACAAATCAGTCAGATTGCATATTAAGGACCAATCAGATGTATTTCTTTTTGCTTGTTTTCACTGGTGCATGTTGTCATGATGCATATGAAGTGCTGTGAAAGCAGACCACCAGCAGTCTTTGTGTATATAAGCTGTACAGAACGCTTGCGTTGGGTTTCACAACTTTGTAAATGTGTTATTTGAGCTAGATTACTCATTGCATCAATAAAAAGAAACAACTATGAGGAATCTATTTAATATAGCATTTGTAATTCGAGACAGTAGCGGTAAGTAGCTGTTGCATTAAATTGCAACTAAATTTTATGTTAGTGTAAGATTTTGTTGTGAATACTTGACAGTTCTTATGTTTACTCTCATGCACAATAAGGATAAAAGTATCTGCTAAATGAATAAATCTAAATGCAAATGCATATCTCTGATGAGACGTTGCATGCCTAAATTACATGCATGCAAGCACATCCATATTAATAAAAGCATTTGTTTCTCAAACTGAAACTTTATTTGCATTTGCATGAACACACACACAAAAGCTCTCTGGTGCAAAAACATATATAGGGCTTAAAAGGATCAAACATAAACCATGCATTAGGTAAATACTGTAATGTTGCAATTAATTGCAAAATGGTTGGCATTAATTTTATATCAGTGTAAGATTTCTTGCATTAAAACCTTGTGAATACTTGACAATGTGTACTCATCTCATGTAAGTCATTTTGAATTAAAAGTAAAGGAATAAATCTAAATGTAAAAGCATATTACATATTTGCATATTACTTTTTAAGTGTTACATTTTAACACATTTTTTCTTGTTCTTGAAAATAAAACTCTTTTAACGAGCAAAAACAATAGAGGGTAAATATGATAAAATATCAACAGCAAAATAGGAAAATAATGTGAAATATGGCATTTACTACATTTGATAAGCTTTAAATGATTTATAGTTTCACGTTAGATTTTTCTGAAAGTTTCGTTACAAGTCTTGGGGTGAAATTAATACATTTAAAATGCACTTTTTTATTGTCCGGACTTAAAAAATTACAATAGCATGTCACGTATTTCTTAATTATGTGTTTATGATTTTTTTCGAGCGGAGCGAGCGCGTTACATAAAGCGATGTCTCCGTTCATTGCTCACTTTTTCCACTGAAACGCCTGCAGCGCCGCCTAGCGCCTCACGGGGGCGCCAGAGCCCCTCCCTCTCTGGCGGATCCGGTCAGTGTTTACGGAAGTGACGTCGGACGTGACGTGTCGTTTTCCGCACAGGCGTCCAGGAACGAAGAAAAAAAATCATGAAACTCAGGCGAGAAGCGCGCTTATAGATCATAAATGTCATAAAGATCGGCGACCAGCGCGATTGTGATCATGTGTGCGACGCCGAGGAGCGCCCGCGGCTGAGGACCGGCGCTTTAATTGACGCGAGTGCCGCGGCGAGGTTTGTTTATGTGTCGCGAGACGCCCCGGTCGGGTTAAGTGATTTATTAATAATTCGTTAGAGTTGAATTGCCGTCGAATGAGTGTAAAGATGTCGACCAGCAGCCCCGAGGCGGTGAAGAAACTCCTGGAGAACATGCAGGCGGATCTGCGCTCTCTGTCCATGGAGTGCAAGAAGAAATTTCCTCCAGTCAAAGAGGTGCAGACACTGAGACGTCAAATATACATACTGTACCTACATACGTGTGTGTGTGTGTGTGTGTGTGTGTGTGTGT